AGTTTTTCACTGGCAAGTCTTGATTAGTGCATCTTTGAGCCTATATTTAGTATAAGTAAAATGCTTATGTACTGTTAATATCAGATACTTTAAGGCCTGGTTTCACAGACAGGGTTTTCAGGTACGCTTTACACCTCTGTCTGCCATAATTATGCGCAATGGGAATGAATATAAATGTCAATAAACAGACATCAGATTTACAGATTTAGACTTGGGTTAGACATCAGCACCTCATGTAGGTCAGCCATGGGGGACGAGACAGAGAAAGAGCGGAAAAAGGAAAAAGAGATGAAAAAAAGACAAACTCAAAAATAGGACACATAAAAGCTGTAATGAAAGGTGAGGATGAGGGTGAACTCTTGTTAGTAGGACGCAGTGACAGACATTGTGTTATTTTCATGTTTGAGCAAGGACACGGGATTTGAATGTGCCTGCTTTTAGAACAACAGGAAGTTGTGATGAGGACTACGGAAGTAGGTGAGGGTGCAATCTGAAGATAAGGCTCGCGTGATGCCTGGCCCTGAACACTCATTACATGATCACAACATCCTTGGAAGTGATGTTCTGTGAATGCAGGCTGCCAATCAAAGTCACAATTCAACCAAAACTCATAGGAGCTGATTTCTTAGCATAACAGATCTCTCTAACCAAAGCAGCAAGTCATACTGGCTGACCCAATCACAATAGTTGTTTCAGGATGAATGCCCATTTAGAGCACAATATGCTAATGAATTGCACTGTGGGACACACTTGAACACCGGGAACAAATATGCAAGCACAGTTCTGATATGTCTTCTCTTGGAATGAATACAAAATCCAATCACACAAAAATGCCAAAGCATCGAGCAAACAAGGACATGCAAACATTCTAATTCGGTGTGTTTTGTGTCAGCAAAAACAATGACTAATGATATTATCATCAACTGACTTCCCCATACAAATACAGGAAGAATATTTAATTTTTAGTTTTCTTTTTAAATGTTGGCATTTAGGGAGTATAATGAAAGGTTTTGCTCATGAGGAAATTCTGTTTTTACTGTGATATATGCGTTTTAGCATTTTCATTACATTTAATCCAAATGCAGATAAATAGAGAGAACAAGAAACATACTTCTACATATGTTTGGGTATACTGGTGTACAGTACACTATGTCACACCTATGATGTTAGATTTTTTTTCTTTTCATAATATAGTATGATTATAGTACAGTACGTATATTATAGTATGATTAAAGAGAAAATTAGCACCTTGCACTGAAGCAAAAATAATATGTTGGTAAAACGCTAACAAAAAAATTGCATATGTGTGTATAAACTGTAAAATGCATGTGCAATCGATTGCGACTTTCCTATCCTAATTATATCAGGATAATTGAGTTATACTAATTAATATTTTTAATAAATTTACTTGAATAAAACTAGCTCAAGATGTTACCACATGAATGACACATTTATCCGACATTAAGTTTCTATTTTTAACAGTCTTGGCTGTATTAGACAGGTTATATTTGAAGCAAAACAAGAACATAGCATTAAACCATGTGACACATGACTTACAGAAATCTGACTGGGCAGTCCTCTCTCAGCATCCACTGCCATTGTATTGTGACAGCGCTGGATCCTCCACTAGCTGTGCATCTGAGTGTAGGGCTACTGCCATACATATGAACATCTCGATCCAACAGCACTTCCTTCTCAAAGATCTTAGGGTGAACTGTATATATAAACACACAAGTTAACAGTCAAATAGGAGATGAGATGAGATGAGATGAGATGAGATGAGATGAGATGAG